CAAATGTCGTCTAAATAGGCCGTCAACTCGAAGGCAAAGTTTGCAGTTCCTCTCTATGCCATCCTATAGGCACCTCATGAAGAGACGATCCGAAGTGGATCTCCAAAGTGTACTTAACGAACATCAATCCAAAGTAGGATTTCAATGCAACCCTTGCTTTCATTTGCTAATCAATACTCAATTCATTTATCTTACAGATTGAGGAATTGCACAGAATTTTCTCACAAACTATGCTTAACCTGAATCAGGAACAGTTCAAAGCCGAACTGGATCTCTATGAGAAATACCATGATCAGGTTTGTTGATTATATGGCACAAACCATCGCAACACATCTCATTGTGAATATGATTGTCATTTTGTGAATTTAAATAATAGGTTTCCACTGCTATTGAGAAAGCGATAAACGTCTCGCAAACGGGTCAACAGCAACACCTTCAGGCACTCCACGACCAGGAGGTGAACACTCTTATGAAGCGACTCGAGGCTCAACACAAAGAGGAATTGAATACATTGAGCAAAAAGCACAAGGACAAAAATGAATTGGCCAGGATCAAACGGGAACTGCAACAGAAGTTCATAGAGCAGGCTGTCGGCGAAAGACAGCGATTCCATTCCTTACTTCTGAAACGCAAATCAGAACTGGAAGTGCGTCACGAAGAGGTCCGCAAGAAGTTTGACGAAGAAAAGCATCTGATTCTCGAGAGGAGGCGAACTGAATACGAAGAGAAGTGTCAGAATGTGGTCAAACAATACGAGTCCAATCCATTGCTGTTCACATCATCTCTGCCGACGACCTCTTGCTCTTTAGGACATAATATTCAATCGCACGACTCATCGACCGCTTTGTGATGACTCTAACCACTCGTTCTTTCAGAACTGAATTTTCTGTAAGTTTTATGTATTAATTATAAGTGAATATTATTTATGACACTTTATTTCATTTAGTGTTAGATTTTATATCATAATTACAATACTCTATGATTAGCGAAACTTTTGATTACTATTTTTTTTTTAACTACAAATTATGACAACACTTGAGAAATGAGAATTACTTGAAGTATTGTGTGATTAGACGAGCGATTTGTTTAAGATTTGTTATTTAGTTTTGAGTGTTTGATTAGAATTTAAGCGCTTTTTTAATTAAAACCTTATCTGACGGCAAAGTTATTTATTTATAGTGAA